TCTCTCTCTGTCTCTCTCTCTCTCTGTCAAATAAATAAAATATTTTTAAAAAAGTAAAAAATATAGCATATTATTAATGAGGTATTAAAAATCTTTTTGTACTGAGTCCTTGACATCTAATGTGTATTTTACACTCACAGCACATCTCAGTTCAGATAACCACATTTCCAGGGCTCAACAGCCACCTATGTCCAGTGGCTACCGTGCTGGAAAGCGCAACCCTGAGGATTAAGAGCAGAATATCCAAGATGTGCTGGGAGGCATCTTCTCTGTGAGTATGAAGGTGTTTAGGTGACCACAGTCTGAATGTTAAGTTCACTCTTCACCCTCCCCTGCAGCCCAGTCTTCTTCCTGCCAAAAGTGTATCATAAATTCAATTATTCCCACCTACTGATGTGGATTAATCATCCCAAAGCAGTTTTGCTTGGATTATTTCTTGGAGAGGATGTTGTTGACTTTTAGGAGGAGGTGATCATTCAGCTGAAACTTGGAGGGTAGGTAGGAATTAGCCAGGGGGTCAGAGAGGACTGTATGAACAAGGGGGTTGCTGGAATGGACAGGCTGGGGGAAGAGCAGACATCAGACCCCAAGTCTCTGCTGAGGTTAATGGGGGTCATCCAACATTGGTCAGTAGGGGGTACGGGAGAAAGGCAAGACCAGAGACAAGGAAACTAGTGAAGAAAGTGCAGGTTCCAGATAAGAATTACGGAGGGTCTGATCTAAGGCAATTATTCATTCATTCATCCATTCCACAAACATTTGCCAAGTGTCTATTGTGTGCAGAAAAAAGCAGAGAAAATCCGTGACCTCATAGAACTTCAATATCTTGTAGGAAAGGAGGTAAATGGTGAGCGATGGAGAGTGTTCCTCAGTTTCAGATCTCGCGTGCTGAATGTGGGGCCATTAATTCTCTGAGACAGAGGATCAGGAGGCAGAGCAGGCTCGGGAAGAAAGGTTCGGGTTTGGCTTATCTTTTTTGACAGATGTTTGGGGTGTTTGGGGGACACCTAAGTGGAGCTGTGTGGCAAGCAGCCGCACAGACATATTTGGAGATCAGGAGATCTGGAAGGTGTTGACTTGCTAGAATGCAGGATTCATTCATTTGTTCATCCATGTATTTGACAGCTACTGAGAAAACCTAGACTGTGCCATGCACTGTACTAAGTGCAGAGGATTCAAAAGTGAGCAAAACAGATATGATCCCTACCTTTGTAGAGCTTCAAATCCAGTAGTGATAGTGGCTGATAACAAAGCTCAAGCCATCACATGTGAGGGGGGGGAGGAGGTAGGGATCTAAACATGTGAGGGAGGAATTGGGGTAGTGGGCTAGGCCAGACTATCAGAGACCTTCAATACCACGCTAGGGAGACAGAAATCCGCCTCGATCTGTTACCAAGCCCTGCCTCCCCAACAGTGCTCACTTTTGTCCGGTCCTCTCACTGCCCCTTCGCTCAGAGCAGGCCACCGCCTCCTTCTTGAAGGGAGATGACAGGTTCTCTAAAGGGCCTCCTTGCCTCTCATCTCCCCCGCCCCCACCACCACGTCCAATGCAAACAGAGTGATTTTTCAAAATGAAAAGATGATGTTACATTCTGTGGTAGGCAGAAGGCTAAGATGGCCCCATGATCTCCATCCTTCTGGTGTTACTCTTTGTTTCTGATGTTACGTTATGTTGCGCAGCACAAGGAATTCTGCAGATACAGTTAAGGCTACTAATCAGTCGACCTTAAAACGGGGAAATTATCCAGGTGAATCCACCTAATGAAGTGAGCCCTTTAAAGGCAGGGAGTTTCTCCAGTGAGGAAAGGGCAAGTCACAGATACTCAAAGCCAGGGAGGTTTCGAAGGATTCGACATGCTGTTGCTGGCTTGAAGATGAAGGGGGTCATGCAGAAAGGACCTAAGAAAGGCTTCCAGGAGTGGAAAGCGAGCTCCAGCAGCCAGCCAGCAAGGAAACAGGGACCTCCCTCCTCCAACTGCAAGGAACTGGATTCTACCAACAACCTGAGCGAGCATGTAAATGGGTTCCCTCCCAGAGCCTCCACATGAGAACGCAAGCCAGGCAACAGCCTGCCTATAGCCTTGGGAGACCCTGAGCTGCGAAGCCAGCCATGCCATACTGGACTTCTGATTTCCAGAACTACGAACTCATAGGCATGTGTTATTTTAAGCCACTAAATTTACGGTGATTTGTTCCACAGCACTGGAAAACTAATACATCCCGTGGTTTCTAACCCTCCAACAAAACTTCCTTCATGGACTTGCCAGGTCTCAGCATCTAATCCTTATAAGAGTCCTACTAGGTGGGTATTTTATTATCACCATTTCACAGGTGAAAAAACTGAAGCTCAGAAAGGCAAAATACTTTCCCTAAGGTTACCAAGCTAGTGACAGGGCGAAGATTTTCACTCAGATAGTCTGAACTCAGAATCCACATTCTATGGCTTCTCATGGCCCTTAGAGTAGGTTCAAATCCCCATGCAAGGTATTAGAGACCCTTCCTGATCCAGCTCCTGTTCACTCATCCAAGCTTGTTCTTCCACCCTCCTCTCACTTCAGCTCCCTGTAGCTCGAGTAACTGCCATGCTCTCAATTTCCTGCCTTTCCACATCCTGCTCCTTCTGCCTGGGATGCTGCTTGCCTCTTCCCTCTGTTTTTCCTTTGGCTGACCCAAATGGTGATTTTGGCCTTGCCTAAGATGCCACCTCGCCAGGGGAGTCTTCCTTGGCTTTCTCAGGCTGGGTAGATACTACTCCAGCATTCCCCTAGCACCTCATACTTCCCTTACCAGAGCCCAGGAGACCCTGTGTTGGTCACGTTTACTCAGCTGGGCTCTTCCCTAGACTGTGAACTCCTTGCACTGTGTCTGGAGCCAGTGGGTACTCAGTATTTACCGAGTGCATGAGTGAATGAATAAAAGCACTTTATTCAGGAGGCAAAGGCAGCCATCCAAGGTCTTGCAGTAAGGGAGGGACCTTATCAGACCTGTGCTTACAAGGACAGGCTGAGGGCAAGTCTGGCAACCAAAAGACGATCATCACCAACATGTGAGGATGAAAAAAGTTCATTTACGCCATGCTCTTGGATTTCTGGGGCTGTGAAACTTGTTTCTTTTCTCTTCTTGACCACATCTGGATACTGGATATGCCAGAAACTGTCACGGTCCTGAAGGTGGGAGGCTCTCCTAAAGAGCTCGTGACTGGGGTTTAGGCCCCGAAATCTTGCTAGAATTAGGCGCCTCCGGCCAAGAAGGCTGTGCGAAGCCAAGGCTATGTGGGGAGCCACCGACATTGACCCTGCATGCGGGGAACCTGGAGCGGTCTCTGAAGATCCCACTCACGCCTAGACCTCTCCATCTCTACACTTGCTCGAGGAGCTCACGGCCCGTCTACTTCTCCTTAAATGTGTAAATACTGCTTCCTGATGAGGAGGGCTGGAAGGCCTTCCGCGTTCCAGGCACGCGGCGCTTACAGCTCCCAGCTGGAGGTCACGCGATGCGGTCGGAGCGTCTCTATTAGAGACGCCGCGCATCTTGGTTTCCTCGTCTGCGCAAAAGACACTCCCCAGACGGCGCGGCCTTGAAGGACCGGGGGGGGGGGGGTGCCGCGAAAGGTGATAAAGTCAAGGTGCGTACAGCTAGCTCTACACGCAAGGAGGGAAGCCAGTGGGCCGAGGGAGACGCAGCGCTGATCCCCGCCTAGGCACGGGCTCCAGCCCTTGAGCAGAAGGGTCTCCGAGTCCTCCCTCGTGCCGACGCGAAACCGTGCGGCGCGTCCGCGGAAGGGGCCGAGATTCCCGCCGCGGGCAGCGGGAGAGAGGCGAGAGGGCTTGGACTGGGCGCTCGGGGAGCGGCGAGGCTGCGAGGGGCGGCTCTGGGCGCTGCGCCTCCCGCGCTCCGGCCGCAGTTCTGGGCGCTGGGGGCGGGCGGGGGAGGAGCCACGTGGGGAGGAGCAAAGCCTGGAGGCCCCGGGAACCTTGGGCAAAGCCAGAGAGGCGAGAGCCGGATCCCGGGCGCACGGCCCCGGGAGAGCGCGCCGTCCGGGCCGAGCGCCGCGGCCGGTTCCGTGCGCAACCGGGCAGAAGGGCCAGTGCTGACGGGGAGAGGCTCCCAGGCTCCTAAACCGTCGCAGAGCTGCTGGGCTGCCCGCCGCCCCCGCCGCCCCGCCGGGGCCCAGCCCGACCCGCCACCTGCGTCCCGGTTGCGCCATGGATCCTTCGGAGAAGAAGATCTCGGTGTGGATCTGCCAGGAGGAGAAGCTGGTGTCTGGTCTCTCTCGCCGCACCACCTGCTCGGACGTGGTGCGGGTGCTGTTGGAGGACGGCTGCCGGCGGCGACGGAGGCAGCGGCGGGGCCGGCGGCGGGGGGCGGCCGGCGACTCGCCAGGCCGGGAGGAGCTGCGGGAACTCCTGGACGAGGACGACGAGGACGACGGCGAGGCGCTGCCGCAAGGCATGCTGTGCGGGCCCCCGCAGTGCTATTGCATCGTGGAGAAGTGGCGGGGCTTTGAGCGCATCCTGCCGAACAAGACGCGCATCTTGCGCCTCTGGGCCGCCTGGGGCGACGAGCAAGAGAATGTGCGCTTCGTGCTGGTGCGCAGCGAGGCGTCACTACCCAACGCGGGCCCCCGCAGCGCCGAGGCGCGCGTGGTACTCAGTCGCGAGCGCCCCTGCTCGGCCCGGGGGGTCCCGGCGCGGCCCAGCCTGGCTCTGACCCAGGAGAAGCAGCGGCGGGTGGTGCGCAAGGCCTTCCGCAAGCTGGCCAAGCTCAACCGGCGGCGCCAGCAGCAGCCGTCGTCGCCCTGTTCGTCCGCTTCGTCGTCCACCGCCTCGTCGTGCTCGTCTTCGCCGCGGGCCGCGGAGAGCGCAGCGGTGGAGCGCATGGAGACGCTGGTGCATTTGGTGCTCTCACAGGACCACACCATCCGTCAGCAGGTGCAGCGGCTCCGGGAGCTGGATCGCGAGATCGATCGCTATGAGGCCAAGGTGCACCTGGACCGCGTGCGGCGACACGGAGTCAACTACGTGCAGGACACTTACTTGGTGGGCGCCGGCATCGAGGTCGACGGGCCCAGCCCGGGAGAGGAGCCGGAGGCGGCTGCGGCTCCCCTGGACGGCGAGGCGCAGGCGGCCGCGCTGGAGGAGCTGGCCCGGCGGTGCGACGACCTGCTGCGCCTGCAGGAGCAGCGAGCCCAGCAGGAGGAGTTGCTCGAGCGCCTCTCAGCCGAGATTCAGGAGGAGCTGAACCAGAGGTGGATGCGGAGGCGCCAGGAGGAGCTCGCGGCGCGGGAGGAGCCCCTGGAGCCTGACGGCGGCCTCGACGGCGAGCTGCTGCTGGAGCAGGAGCGGGTCAGGACGCAGCTCAGCACCAGCCTGTACATCGGGCTCCGGCTCAACACGGACCTGGAGGCCGTCAAGTCGGATTTGGATTACAGCCAGCAGCAGTGGGACAGCAAGGAGTGCGAGCTGCAGGGCCTTCTCCAGACTTTGCACACGTTGGAGCTGACGGTAGCGCCCGATGGGACTCTCGGCTCTGGCGGACCCTCCCGGGAACCCCGGCCCCAGGGCTGCGCCGAGGTGTGGGTGGATCAGGCCCGCGGACTGGCCAAGAGCTGTCCTGGCAACGACGAGGACTCGGATACCGGGCTGAGCTCTATGCACAGCCAGGACTCGGACTCAGTGCCTGTGTGCGAATCTCTTGTGTAAGAGGAGCAGGGTGGGAGAGGGGGACGATCCTTCTCCCTTCCTCGCAGAAAGCACTGGCATGGCCGGCTCAGGGACTTGAAACCAGGCTGGGGGTGGGCCGGGGAGCCCTGCCAGGTAGCAGCGCTCCCACCGGGCGGGCGGGGGCGGGGGAGCTGGGGACACCGGTCCTGCGAGGGCGCTCCTCTGGTTCCCCAGTGAGTATAGAGGGGTGCGGGACAGGGAGGCCAGGTCTCCATTCCAAGCTCTTTCTGGGGAAGGAAGGAGGGAGGTGGTGAGAACCACCTGTCCTGGAAAACAAAAGCCCCAGGGAAACTGACGTGGTCCGAACCCATTTTCAAAAAAAAAAAAAAAGAAAAGAAAAAAAGTATTATGAAGATTTCAGCAATCTTCTGTATGGGAAAGACTGATGGCAGCTAGAACTTTAGTTTGCGGCGTAAAGTGCTTTTGAAAGAAACTCTTGGATGAAAAGGAAATTCCTTGAATGTTAATTGTGACTGTGAACGTGTTAAAACTAGCCAAAGAGGAGTGCTGGTGTTGGTCTCAGCCTTACTTACATCTCTGATAAAACCCGCAGGCACCCAAATCCTGGCTCTTTACCTTCCTGCAGACTGGGGAATTACCCCTCTGCTAAACTGCTCATCTTTTAATTTCTTTCAAAGGCTGAGCTGTGTGGAAGTCTAACCCTGCATTTCCTCCTTGCAAATACAGTATGTGTTAAAATAGAATCCTTTCCCTAAAATAACCTTTTATTATTACAAAAGCCAAACATAACACTTTTGAGATAGAGAAGCCTGGCAGACATAATCCCTGGTTACTGTTTAATCGGGACCCTTTGGGATTTGCCCCTGCAAAGGGACCTCTGCTGTCCTTTCTTTTCATTCATGTTGTCGCTTCATCCACTGAATCACTGTTACTCCAAGAAAAATAAAAGGGAAGTTGCAGAATTCAAGTGAAGTGCAACTAAAGTTGCTATCTAATGAGCACTCTGGTTGTAACGGAGACTTGAAAGCAAAGATCTTTGTTAGTGTTCAGCTTTTGAACTAAGCTATATGATTAAAACCAACCATGACCTCAAGGTATTTTTACCCCAACCCAAGTCTAACTTCAGTAGCTTTGGTCAGAGATTAATTAGTTACTTGTCCAAGCCTAAATTGAGAGTGCAAATATCAACGTTTACTAGATAAGGCCCCCAAAAGAAAACGTAAAATAAAACAATCTACTAGTACACCTTGGGTGAGCAATTTGATTAACCAGGGCATGTAGCCACAGATAAATGCATAGAAAAGTGAGCTTAAAGGTGACTTGAATTATTCTTGTCTGGCTCATGCCTTTGCACACACCCAGAGATACGAGTGCAACCCCTCTCTCTTAATAGCTGGTGATGGAGCCCTGGTGGGGACCCAGTGTAATTGTTCCAGTTATTTCAATGAAAAGTTATCAGTTGTAGCTAGTTGTTGCCCCGTGGAAGGAGCCTGTTGGCCCTGTTCCCTCTGGAGCTCAGGACTTCTGAGGAATGTGGGATCTAATCTGTCCTGAGGAGGTATTAACAATGGGGTGTGTGTGTGGTACCAGCCTGCTGCAGAAGCCTGGTATCAGCTTAACCATGGAGGGGCTGGCTCCAGTTTCAACACCACATGTGAAGATAACTTAAAAGGTCTTGCTTTATCAAGAAATTTCTTTCCTTTGAGAGATTCTCTGTCTGCTTGTTGCTAACGGGGACCTGCCCACCTGACCCCCTCAAACCATTTGAGCTATGTCCTTTTTGGGGACAACCCTCCTCCCCCCCCCCCCACCATGCTATTAAAGCACACGTGGATATTTCAGATTTTCAAGTAAAATGGGAATGAAATGGCCGTTTTCTTAATTGATGTTTTCAAAAGACATTAGCTGGCATAATTATGGTTTTTTAGTTTCGTCGGATGCAGAAAACATCTATGCATTTGGTCTTAAGCATGATTAAAATGAGGAGGGGACCGAAAGAAAGCCACTGTCCCTAGATGATCATTTGATCTGGTAAACACAAAGCCTAATGATAGCTTCCCTTTTGAGGCAGAGGTAAAATCCTCATTAGAGTGTGACAGACGATACTTGTCTGAATGGTTTATGCTGGCAAAGGGCTGACCTGGTGGTTTTAAAATTATTGTGCTTTTTTTTGGTCCCCCAGAGTGGTAGGGGAGGTGGTTCTTAGATGTTTATTAACTCAAAAGAGAACACAGAAGTTGGCAGAACAGGACAGCCTGGCAGAAAGGGGCTGTTGCCCTTTTCACTATTATTATTTTAAACTCTTGACAGGCTGCTGACATCAGCAAATATGCCTGAAGCCTGTAAAGCAAATTAAGCCACATCACAGGGAGAAGGGCTGTGGGATTCTCTGGTGCCCTCTTTCCAGAACCTTCCTGTCCTGTCTACCTGAAGATGCTTCTCCAGTCAACTCTTCAGGCAGTGTGGAGGCTCTGTTTATAACAAATGGCAGCCCAGTCTGCCCATTTCTCCTTTCATCCAAATCAATTATGTCCCCAAAAGGCACTCTCTGTGTGGGTAGGAGAAAGGAGAAGGGCGGGGGGGCAGGGTGAAGGGGTGCCAAAATAGAAAGGAGACAATAGCGCCTTTTACTAAGAGCTTTCGCAAGCCTGAGAGAGGCGGAATATGGATATAAAAAGGACCAACTCAACACCTGTGCCTAGAAAGTGCCTAATAGATTCTAGATGTTGAAAAAACATCATTTCACTTAAAAAATAATCATCCTGGCACTAAGAATGAGAATGAATACATCGAGGTGAAAGCCTCAGCACTAAGGATGTCAGAGCCCCTGGGAGAAGTGACCCCTCTCCTGGTGTCTGAGCAGAACAGAAATCCTGGGGAGGAACCGGCAAGCTCGCAGAGGACAAGACGAGGCCCCATCCTTGTTGGAAACTGATAGAATGTATCATGGCTTTGATCTTAAGTATCTCTTTCTCAGCCATCTCCCAAACCTGAAAGATTTCATCTGGTATCTCTGTGTGTTTGCTTATAAAACGTGATGATGATAATTTGCTAATTAGACAAGTTATATACTATGGTCCTTAGGATGAACCTGAAAATAGCAACAGTAAAAAGAAAGAAAAGTCACTCAAGATCCTTATCACTGCTAAAACTTGACATATTTTCCTTCCTGAACTTTTGAATTGTGAAGGTTTCATATTTTGCTTCTTTTTTAAGAAAATAATTTAAATGAGATTGTATAGATGCTTTTATGCTCAGGTTTTGACCTTGTAAAGGCTCCACCTGTCTGTTGGATGCTCCATTGTGCCTGTAACTCTTCTCATGTAAGTAGGTTGTCCCTGATAATTTTTTACTGTTATAACATAACGCTGTGATAGGCTTCTTTGGGCATGTGTACATTTTCCCCAGTAAAATGGAAAGAGACTTCCCAGGTCAAAGAGTACAAACATTTAAGGACTTGATACTTAATTGCCAAATTGCTTTTCGAAAGATTTGTTCTAGTAACAACCTGCTATGGGTGATGGGGCCTATCTCCCCACACCTTGGCTTTCATTAGATACTACATTTTGTTAAGAAAACATTTTAACCAGAATTAATTAATTAGTACTTTGTGGCTCTTGGAATGCAGGGCTGGCAACCACTGGCTTAAAATAATCTTACAACAGAAATGTGGATTGTCTGACCAGAAGTGTTAAGAGGATGTGGTGCTTTCTCTCCTTCCTGTTTTCCTTGTCTTCCCAGAGCACCTGCTTTGTAATAGCGATCTTGTCTCCTATCAGAGCTTGCCAACAATCTGAGCAGGAGGGGCAGAAACTCCACATGAGCAAGAGCAGGAGAATTAACACGTAAGAGAAACAGATTTATAAAAAGTAAATGTTCTTTAACTTTTTTTCATCTTTAGTCCATGAGAAAAGGTTATTCTTAGAAGATGATGTTATAACGTGTATTTGATTTTGTGCTTCTCCCTACCCACTCCTATTAAAAATTAAATCAAAATAAATACATTAGGCCACTATTAACAGCCTCTAAAGAACAGTTTTGACTTTTCCAGGAATTTCTTTCTACCTATGAAATAACACCTGAGCTCATCTTTAAATTCTTGGAAAGGGAAAATTTGGCCATGAAAATTTGTAAAATTTCCTGTGTGGAAATGTTTGTGAAATGGATTGTCCTAAACAGAAAGAAAGGAGGACGAGGAGAAATTTTTTGCTGAGTACTTTCCAAATGCCAGATCCTTGTGCTGAGTATCGTCACATGCATTTCCTCTGCATTCATCTTGTGAGATAGAACTCTCTAACCTCCAATTTTTTAAAAATACTTTATTTATTTAAGAGAGAGAGAGAGCATGAGCAGTGGGAAGGGGCAGAAGGAGAGGGAGAAGCAGGCTCCCCGCCGAGCGGGTAGCTCGATGTGGGGCTCGATCCCAGGACCCTGGGATCATGACCCGAGCCGAAGGCAGATGCTTAATCTGCTGAGCCACCCAGGCACCACCCTAACCTCCAATTTTTACAGATAAAGACACTAAGGCCATCTAGCTGGTAAGTAGCAGAAGCAGGACTTTAACCCTAGCCTGACTCTAAATCCTGTGCCCATTTTGCTCCATACGCCAGGCACGTCATACCCATGAAGGGGTCAGCGTGTCAGGAGAAGAGATTCCTCACACGTTCTAGAGTGTTGGCACTGGAAGGGCCTCAGAGATGATCAAGTCTTGTCCAAGTATTTCCACCAGGAAGGTGGAGTGACTCTCAAAATCATGGAGCCAGTAAACATCTATTAGGTGGGGAATTAGGAAAAGATATAGGAGGAGAAATTCCTGTGTAAATATCTGGGCGTCTATCTGTCAGAGATGAAGTCCTTGCCGTGGAAAAAAAAAAATTTCTCCCCGCAAATTAACGCCCTATGTATCAGCATGGAATTTTTAACTGAATGCCCTATGGGCACAGGTGGATAGTCAGCAATGGAGACTCCTCGGCCATCAGCTGTGTGCTATTCACAGTCACATCTGGAAGGTGGTACCAACCATGCCTGTGCTGAAACTGCCCCCCCCAACCCCCAGCATTTTTAACCACACCTCATTTCCGGTTGAGACCGGGCACATGAAGAGAAGGGGGGTGGTAGTGTCAAGGGAGGGAATGCTGGGCCTTCTGAGCACTTCTGTGCCTGTGGAGTTAGGCATGCACACTTGATTTGGGGCATCTGTGGCCACACTCACGTCCCTGAACACGTGTAGCCCAAGCATGGATGGCTTTGAAGGGCCGCTGCCCCAGCCTCTGCCCCTCTCCTCCATTCCCTTGACAGTTTTTTTCTGTCTCAGACACCTCCAGGATTCCCCATAGCTTTCAGGATAAAATCCACATTTCTTAGCAGAATTGATCAGATTGTTGGTTATCCAGCTCAAGACCACTCTCCAAGTCTCACCCTCCCCTGCCTTCAAACCACAGAAGTAAATGGATCCTGTCTCTTCGTTCAGGTCACACCGCCACCCTCTGGTTGTGCAAGGGCCCGTTTCTTCTTGTTTCACTTCATGTTTCCCTTTGTCCCGCATTCCCACCCCCATTTCGCTTCTTCCTCCCACCATCAGCTGTTATTCTAGTGTATTTAATCCACGACCTTCCAAACCACCTTACATATTCAGGGCTGTCATGTTGCACACCTCCAGGGGGCACCATTCATGGTGTGGTCTGCGGTTGTGCTCCAGAGGGTACCATTCACATGGGAAACTATGTGAATGGTAACCCTGAAGTTGAGCAATGTGCTAGCTCATGTGTGTATATGTATCCTTGAAAAGTAGAATGAGGGGCACCTGGGTGGCTCAGTTGGTTAAGCATCTGTCTTCAGCTCAGGTCATGATCCCAGGGTCCTGGGCCCGCATTGGGCTCCCTGCTGAGTGGGGAGTCTGCTTCCCCCTCTGCCCCCTCCACCTGCCGCCTGCTCACGTGCACACACACTCACTCAAATAAATAAAATCTTTTAAAGAAAAGTAGAATGAAATGATTGTGTGCTTATATCTAATATACATGGCCTTTATTGGACTATAAATCTCACTATATTTCCTTTTTTTTCATGACATAATGTTTGTGGGAGCACGCCACATTGTAATGTGTAAATCTGGCTCATTATTTTCTGACCTGCGTGGTATTCCATCACTAATGTCTACATTTCTTTGGCGAAGGAAACCTAGGTTATTACCAATTCCTTGCTTTCTCAAACAGTGTTACAAGGAACACAGGCAGAAACCAGTGGTGCTATGTGAGACTTTGAGGTTTAAAATCCAGAATTTTGAGTACTGCCCTGCTGATCACTCTCCCAAATGGCTTCACCAGGTTAGGCTCTTACTGGCTGTGAAGATTCCCCATTTTCCCCACAGCCTCTCCAGCATTTGATATTATCCAGCTTCCTACTTTTTACAAATTGGCTCTAATTTGCATTTCTTTGCATTCTAGTGAAATTGATGTTCATATGCTTATTATCCTTTGGGTTCCCCTTCTGTTTATTGCCTGTTGTTACCAGCCATTTTTCCTGAGGGTCTCCCTTTTCAGGCAGATTTGCAGGAATTCCTACATGTCCTGAACATTAGTATCTTGTTAACTATAGAGGAAGTATAAATATCTTATCCTAATTTGACTCCATCTTAACTGTGTCTATGGTGGCTATTGTTGAAAATTGTCTAATTATAATATAGTTAAATGTAGCACTCCCACATCCCCCTATGGTTTGTGGTTTAAGGTTCTTATTTAAGAAATAAAGTCACAAAGATAGGCTTCTGTATTTTCTTCTTTTAGCCTCATACTTTTTCTTTCTTTCTTTCTCTCATACTTTTTCCTCCCCTCCCTTCTTCCTC